GAATCACTATTTGCATTCAGGCAAGTGGGAGACACTCAAGAGGTTTTGTTTTTTTAAATCAAGGATAAGGGTGGAGGTTGAGCCTTGATTCATTCATTGAACTTCCCATGGACAATGTCTTCTTCCCTGTCGAGATTAACTCTCTGATTGATCTGCTCTGATTGATCCACTCGCCCGATTAATGATCTAATAATCAACAGGGCCAGTTGGCGTAAGATACAAAGAGTATTTATCAGTTAGGGAGTTCATCAACTCAGTGACCAAAGGACAGACTCAGGGATAGTTCAGGACATGGAGAAAAGGAAATGGCTTTGGAGTATGTAAGAAATGCTCCAATCATGTACATGCAAATTGTAACTAGGAGATCTCACTTTCCCTTATCAGATGGGAAAAGATAAAAAAAATTTGATGATACCCTGCATCCACCAGGTTTTGAGAAGGGCCCCCACCTCCCTGCTGGTAAGTATAATTTAGTTTAACCTCGTTAGAGGACATTTGGACAAATGTATCAACTTTTTTTTTTTTTTTTTGGACACAGCACATGGCTTTTGGGATATTAGCTCCCTACCAGGGATTGAACCCGGGCCGTCGGCAGTGAGAACGCAGAGTCCTAACCACTGGACTGCCAGGGAATTCCCTCATCATTTTTTGTAACATATCTTTGCACTTCAGGTCAAAGATGTGTGTACAAGACATTCATTGAAATTGCCACCTTGTTTGTAGTAGCAAAAAAGTATATTCTAATCTAAATGCCTATCACAAGTCCCCTTATTAGATAAGTTGTGTGATTATGGTATAATCCATGCAATGAAAAAGTCTGCAGCCCTGCAACAGATGAAGGGAGCTACATGTAATGATATGGAACAACTTTCAAGACACGCAGTATAGTAACTTGCGAGGAAAGCAAGTAGGCTAGCGTATAGGCTCCCATTTGTGTTACATAAAAAAGGGAGGTACATATTATATTCACATATGCATATATCTCCTTGTCTCTATAAAAACCATCTCTGGAAGGTCATACAAGACACTGGTAAAAATATTTAGTTACCTTTGCAGAGGGAAATGGAGATCTGGGATGGAGGGTCGCTTTCTTTTTTGTTTGGTTGAGTTGTAAATCACCTTTTTAGTTATCGTTCTTTTAGTGGGGGATGGACACCCGTGGAAAATGCAGGCCTTTATTCAAATTTATCTTCTCTCAGAGGCCTTTCCTGGCCGTATTAGATATTCCCAAACTGCTCTCCAAGGCAGCTGTACCAGTTTTCATCCTCGTTGAAGGCGTGTGCATCCGGCCCCACGTGACGGCCAGTAGAGGGCGCCGCAAGGCCGCGCCCCGGGGCGAGGGCGGTGGGCAGGGTCGGGCCGGCCGGGTCCGCTGCAGCCCAGCCGCAGAGCCAGTACATTTCCGGGAGGACCTGACACCACAGCATCAAAAGTGTCGCCTCGGGCTTCCCTGGTGGCGCAGTGGTTGAGAGTCCGCCTGCCGATGCAGGGGACGCGGGTTCGTGCCCCGGTTTGGGAAGATCCCACATGCCGCGGAGCGGCATGAGCCATGGCCGCTGAGCCTGCACATCCGGAGCCTGTGCTCCGCAACGGGAGAGGCCACAAAAGTGAGAGGCCCGCGTACCGGAAAAAAAAAGTGTCGCCTCGCCTTCACCTGCAAGGAGGCCGGGACCGCACCTCCGGGAGCTGGCTCGCCGTCCAGGGCCTCGCCTCGCCCAAAGCCCCCTCCCACCTCGCTGTCTCCGCCGCCTCTTGGAAGGACGGTTGTGAGGGTGACCCGGGAGGAGAAACCGCCGGGACTGTTCAATCGGAAGGGAGGGGACAGCCCAGATCTGAGAAAGGCCCCTCCCCCACCTTACACCTCCTCCAGGGCGCAGGTGACCGACCGAAGGAAAATGGAGAGCAGCAGGCCCAGGCACTGGTGTTTTGAGTACCAGCCTCTGGACTCTGCCCATCCCGACATCTCCCCACCTTTTACAGTTGAGGAAATTGAGGCTCAGAGAGACTGGGTAACTCGCACAGGGTGACCCAGGAGGAGGAACAGCCAGTAATCAGTCATTCACCAAGTACTTGAGCCCCTACTAAGTGCTTTGAAGATAATTGAATAGGGTAATGGAATAAACAGTGATGTTGTGAGTGGAGCAGGGTGCTACTTTGGCTGGGATGATCAGGGAGGCCTCCCTTGAGATGACATAAAATTTTTGTTAAATATATCATTCTTACCAAAAGTGTTTAAATTGTCTACAGTTTCAAGACTACTAATAAATAGCTTTCTGTGCTTAAAACAACATTATCAAGAACTCTCTAGGAGCACCTTCTCCCCGAGTTAACCACTCTCCAGAATTTTGTATTAAACATTTCCTTGCTTTTCTTTATAGTTTTACCGCCTCCATATACATTCCTAGACAATAAAAGGTTTCGTTTGCTTGATTTTGAACCTTATGTAAATCCAACCAACTGTATGCATTTGAGTTGGTTCTTTTTGCTTAACATTATGTTTTTGAGATTTATCCCTCTTGTTGCAGTTTGTTTTTATTGCTGTATATGTTCCATTATGGGAATGAACCGCAGCTTATTAACCCTTTGTACTGTTGATAAACATTAGAACATTACGGTTGTTTCCACTTTTTTTGTTTTTTGTTTTTGTTTTTGTTTTGCTATTAGGAACAACGGTGCAATGAATATTCTCTTGTTTCTTCTGGGATTAGGGCTGGGCAGCAGTTTTCAACTTTGGCTGCTCACTAGAATCACCTGAGTTTTTTAAAATGCTAATACCAGAGGGTCCCACCCAGACTAATCAAATCAGGTTGGCTCTGGGGGTGGGGCCCAGGCTAGGGTGTTCCCTGAGGGAATCTAATCTGCGGCCAGGGCTGAGAACCTCTGGGATGCTGTTGGCCTGGAAGTAGAATTGCTAGGAGGAGAGTCACCTGTTATTAGCTGATGCCAAACTTTTCCGAAGTGGCTTGTACCTATGACACTCTCGCCAGCATGGAACGAAAGTCCTGCTGCCCTCACACCCTTGCTAGTGACCAAATTTTAACTTTTTATCTTTCTGATGGTGTGAAATGGTATATCACTGTGGTTTTAATTTGCATTTCTCTCATTACTAATGAGGCTGAGCAGTTGGTGAAGTTCATGCTGAAACAAAGACAGAAAAGGAGCCAACATGGTGAAGATCTGGGGAGAGAGATTTAGGGGGCAGGGAAGATGAACGGCAGGTGCCAAGGTCCTGTGGTAGGCAAGGGCTGGGATGTGGAGGAACAGAAAGAAGGGCGTGATCATTGTGCAAGGGGCAGGAGGACAGTGGCTCAAGACAGGATCAGAAGGGGTCAGATGAGCAGGGTGGAGGGCCGCGGTGAAGACTTTGGTTTTTACCCTGGGTGAGATAGGAATATGGGAGGTTTTGAGCAGAGGGACACGGCCTTACTCCTCCCTCTGGATGCATGTGGAAAATCGTGATTGAAAGTAAACAGACGTAGAAGAGGCTATATTCTTCGTAATGACTGTGCATGGCCTGTCTCCCCCACCTTACCCTCCCCTCACCAGTTAGAACATGGTAAGGATTGTCTTGTCCACAGCTGTTATCCCCAGCACCTGATGACCAAAACAGACAGTTGTCCCTGCCCTCATTCTAGGTGGTGAGTGGAGGGACTTACAGGGTTTCATCGTCCTTGCTTCACAGGTGGAGACCCGTGGGCAAGACCTGTGGATTTATTTCCGTGCCACAACCCCACTCCAGGCGGGGCATGGCCCTCAAAGTTGGTGGGCTCACAGGAGAGCTGAGGATGAAGTGTCCCTCCCCTGGGCCCACCCCACAATGAATCAGTCAGTGCCTCCCTTGGAGCCCAGCCTTAGGTCCTTTAGACACAGTATTGACGACCCCAGACAAGTGAGGAGACCACCTCAGCCCCACCCTTCCCCACTTCTTTCTCCCACCTGCCCAGAGTACTCTTTCTCAACCATTCTAAACAGGTCCCTCCTCAGCTGAAAATTCTTCCTTGGCTCCCCAGTGCCCTTGGGGCAAAGTCCAAACTCCTCCAGGCCCTGGAGGCCAGACAGATCTGACCCATCAGCCCTGCCCACCCCACCCCCAGCCCTGAGAGCTGCTCTCAGTGGCTCTGAAAGTTACTGATTCTAACCTCAGGCCTTTCCCCTCGGTATTTCTTCACTTCCTCTGGTAAGTGACCCCCCCCCGACCCCCTGTCAAGTGACCCGCCTCTTGACTGTCACAGTGCCCTGTGGTCTCCCCCCATCAAAGCACACTTCCCTTTGCATTGGAATTGTCTGTTTACTTCGTCTGTCTCCTCCGCCGGACAGGGAGCTACCCTTCGGCAGAGACCCCGAGTGTTTTGTTCAGGGCCGTATCCCCAGCTCCGGTAACAGTGCCTGGCATGTTAGTGGGCACTCAGTAAACACTGAGGGAACGAATGCATTTTTCTAGATGATGCCCGTTTGCTTTGCAAAAAAGGCTGTGGCACTGCACAGTCAGCAACCACGTGCAGAAGTCCATTGCTCTTCCCCGTCCCCGAACTGTGTATTGTCCTTTTCATTCCCACGCTCTTTGCAAGTCACCTTCCGGGCGAAGGCACCCCCTTCCCAAACCCGAGGAGGTGGCAGTATCGGAACGTCAGGTGTCCAGACCCGCGGCGCCAGGGGGCGCCAGAGGCGGGCTACCGTGCCGCTTCGAGCTGGCTGGAGCTCGGGTCCCGAAGGGGGTCCCGCCTAGTCCGGGGTTCCCGGCGCCCCGCCCCCGGCAGCCCGCAGCCGGGTGATGAGTGCAGCCCCGAGGCCCAGAGCCCGAGCTGCCCCTCCCGGCTCCCAGCGCCACGCGGCGCGAGCCCCGCCAGACCCCGGCGCACCTGCTTTGGGCGTGGCCTCCGGCGAAGGCGCGCCTCGATTGGCGCGGAGGTGACAAAGGGGCGTGGCCGTAGTCGGCCCCCGCCCACTCACGGCTGGCGTACTTAAGGCAGTTGGCGGCCAGACTCCACTCACAGCGCAGCTGCACGGCCTCGCGGGTGGAGGGTCTTGGTATCCCAGCACGACCCGGCTACCCCCGCTGCTTCGGCCACCATGCCGCGCTCTTTCCTCGTCAGGAAGTCCGCCTGCTCCCGCCGGAGACCCAATTACAGTGAGCTCCACGACTCTTCTCCAGGTGAGTGGACGGGGTGCCGGACCCCAGGGAGTTTGGGGGAGGCAGGCGAAGGCTGCATGGGGGCCACTTGAGAGGCAGGGCGCCTGGGGACAAAATCGAGGGGCCAAAGCCGAGGGGCCAAAGTCGAGTCAAAAGATAACAGTCTGGGTGTGAATAGGCCGGGGCAGGTGGATCCGGGAGATTGGGAGAGGGCTTTTAGAGGCCGGTGGTCTTTGGCTGAGGGGACTAATTAGCCGCCGAGAAGCGGGGCGCCCCGAGAGCACAGAAGTGAGAGGAGGCGGCTTGTGTCTGGATAGACGCCGACCAGGGGCTGGAAAGAGTCCGGAGTCCACAGGATTTGGGGGAGGGGGTGGGAGAAGAGATGTGTATGGAAGGGGGACAGGGATGGTGCCTTGGCAGCTGGGGAGATTGGGGGCCAGGGAGCTGGGGGTCTTGCCTCAGGCTGGGGACTTGGGCACCGCAAGGGGAAGGAGACCTGAGAATGACCTCCTTGAGTTGGAGCTGGGGAAGGGGGGGGTCCTTCCTGTAAGATCTGGAGGTTGAGGGGGGAGAACCAGGTGACCTGGCTGAGGAGGGGGCTCTGCCAGGGCAGGAACCTGTCTGTCCTGGTCATGAATCTTTTTTATTCATCTACTAAGCATTGAGTGCCAGCCTCACTCAGCCCCTGGCCCACATCAGGCTAATGTTTGCTGACTGACTGAATGATCTAATCCCTGACCTTGCGCTTTTCCCTGTCTCCTCACAGAGTTCACTTTTCAACAGCCCTATGACCAGGCCCACCTGCTGGCAGCCATCCCGCCACCTGAGGTCCTCAATCCCACGGCCTCACTGCCTACGCTCATCTGGGACTCTCTCCTGGCACCCCAAGCCCAGCCGATTGGCTGGGCCTCTCTTCTGCCCCAGGAGATCCCCAAGGCCGTCGAGCTGACCTCCCTGTCTGACGAGGACAGCGGGAAAGGCTCCCAGCCCCCCAGCCCACCCTCACCAGCTCCTTCGTCCTTCTCTTCCACCTCAGCCTCCTCCCTGGAGGCCGAGGGTTATGCTGCCTTCCCAGGCTTGGGCCAGTTGCCCAAGCAGCTGGCTGGGCTCTCCGTGGCCAAGGACCCCCAGTCTCGCAAGGCCTTCAACTGCAAATACTGCAACAAGGAGTACATCAGCCTGGGTGCCCTTAAGATGCACATCAGAAGCCACACGCTGCCTTGTGTCTGTAGCACCTGCGGGAAGGCCTTCTCCAGGCCCTGGCTGCTGCAGGGCCACGTCCGGACCCACACTGGTGAGTACCCCTGCAGGCTGGCTGCCCTTCTCACTGTCCCACTGCTTTTGCTACCAGCTCTTGTAAGATGGGCTTGCTGTTACTTTCAGATTGTGGAAACTGACCCCACCCCCACCCCCACCCCCCGCCCAGTCTCCTGACTTCTAGCTCAAGAGTTCAGGGGCCTGGCTCCGAAAAGTTTGGCAGAAACATTCGTTCATTCACCAGCTAAGCAGATGGGCTAAAGAGATAATTTTACACGTCCCTCTGCAGGCTCAGTTCCTCAGCCAAATGGGTTGGAGCTGGTATGGGAAAGGTGTAACCAGCACCTTGCTGTTGGGGCCAGGTGTGAAGGGGCTCACCCTGCTCCACTTCCCCCACCCGCCCCCCAGCCAGACAGGATGTTTGTCAGACTCCCCACCTGCCTCTGAATCCTGCTTTGGGATCTTCCCAAACTTTGGGCTGCTGTTTCACCTCTCTTAGCCTCAGTACCCTCCTCTGTGAAATGAGCATAGAAACACCTTGTGGGGTTTTTTGCTCTGGTCAAGTGAAAGAAAGCATACAGAAATCACCTGGGACAGTGCTTGGTACATGATCAGTACACACAAAAACCATAGTTGGTATTCATTCTGCTTCCATGCTGTGTGTCTTTGAGCAAGTGATTTAACGCTCTGAGCCTCTCCGATTATAATGTAATCATATAGGGTGGGTTACGATAGCATTTCATAGGGGGCTATCTAGATTCAGTGGCTCCTTAATCGCTTTATAATATCATCATGGTTCTCAGATCTGCTCTCCCCACCCGCATTCACACTGCTGAATAGATAATCTTAATCCTATCATGCAGACCCGGGAACACGTTTGCTGGCAGAAAACACAATTATGTCTTGGTGTTTCAAACAATGCAATACTGAACGTGTAGAAAATTATGAAATGGAGCCTGTTCTAGTCTTTAGCTTTCTGGAAATGCAGAAAAGGTAGCCACTCCACCTTTCCAGAGCATGAATGGTGGAGGCCACCCTGCTTGGGGCTGCTCTTTGCAGAGTGTCTGTTGAGGGAGAAGAGGGTTCAAGGGTCATGACTTGGTTTTGGGGGTCAGGTTGGCCAGGTTGGAGACTCAGTTCTGGCATTTCCTCATCCGGTGGCTGACCTCTGAGTGAGCCATGAGGGTCAGTGAGGTGGATTGTGAAGCCTGGCATTTTGCAGGCATTACTGGTGTCATCGTTACTCCTACGGGGGTGGGGGGCATCCTCCACACCTTGCAGACTGTGGCTACTACCCATGTCTCTTACTTGGTGCACAAACAACTCTGATTTTAACATGGAAGGGTCCAATTGCCTGGCCTCTGTCCTGGGTGCCTGATGGGGTCTCTATCTGGGGGGAGAGGAAGCCCTCAGATGCTCCCCTGGGCTCCCCAGCTTCTTTCCCCTCCCACTCGGACATTATTTTAATGTAAAGGCATGGCCCAGACGCAAAAAGCCTGTTGAAATGCACCAATGCCATCCTCATCAACTCCCATTGTGTGCCTTAATGGTGCGCCCAGGGGGCGGGGCTGGGGGTGGAGCAGGTGCACGGGGCAGCGGTGCCCAGCACCTGTTCCAGGCCGCAGCTGCTGGCCCGCAGTGTGTCAGGCCGCGTTAATCCAGGGAGTATTGCATGTACACTGCCCCCCTCGGCAGCCTTTGTCCCGCCGGTCTGGTGCCGATTTCACACTCCAGGAGCACCATAAAGACGTGGCTGGGGTGGGGAGGGAGAATCCGTGAGGGGTGGAGGGAGAATCCGTGAGGGGTGGAGGTCTGCTGCCTCCTGCTGCACCCCTCACATCCCATCAAGCCTGCCCCTTTGTTCAGGTTTGTGTCCAATCATAAGAAACATAAAGATAACGTTCACCGAGCACCTGGCAGTGCTGGAGGGAGGTGGGGGAAGGCGTGATGCTCAGGGCTTCCTTCACCTGTGTCAAGGCGGTCAATCCACCAACAGTCCTAAGAGAGAGGTGCCATCATAACCCCCATCTTACAGGTGTGGAAACTGAAGCATAGAGAAGGAAGTCACTTTTCCAAGTCACAGCCCATGGGCTGGAACCAGGGCTCCATCACCTCGGCCAAGGGGGTGAGGGGGCCGTGGGGATTACAGGACTCCACCCCCGTTTCCAGACCTGCATAGCGTGGGCCCTGAGTTCACAAAGGAGTGTGTGAGTGAGGAGGAAGTTCCCTTGGACCTTGTAGACTGAGGTCATCAAACCCTTCCGGCCTGGTGTGCAGAGGCAGCTCGATACAGCAGAGCAGGTTACTCAGGTGTCCCTTCCCCAATCCTCTGGCTAGGTCCCCGCTCTCTGCCCCAGGAGACTGAGCCCATGAACGTGGTTCCACAGTGGGCCACAGGCCTTCCCTGCTCAGCTAGTGCCCCAGGCACCCAGGAGGCTGATGGAATTCATTCATTCCCAGCTCTCAATTCCAGTACTGGGATTTAACTAGAGGGCCTTGGCCTAGGGGCATATAAGGCTGGGAATGGAAGGATAGGAGAATGTAGTTTCTTCTGGAAAAGACTATTCAGTATTACAGAATAGTGCCTGGCCTGTGGTAGGAGCCTGATTAGTATTTGTTTAATGCGTTACCCTTCTGACTTTATTTGGGAAATGCTGCAGCCCCAGGAAGAAGCGAAACACAGCATTTGACGTTTCTGGAATGTGAGTTATAGTCTCTTGATTGGGGCAGGAATTATGAAAAGTTGGTGAATGGTGTTTTCTGGTGGTGATTGAGGAGTCAGGCTCTTCTGAGACCTTTATAAAAAAAGACTTACTGTTGTACGAGCATATTGAGTTCTCACTGTGTGCCCAGCCCCGAGTGCAAGACTCTTCTCCATACAGCCTGGCCGAGCAGGTGAATGAGGACCACAGGTAGGGTTTTTTTAAAAAAATAAGTCATAAGGTAAAAGGTTTCTGTAGCCTCTTGGGGGTTCTGGGCCTTGGGCTGGAAGCTTGGAATGGATTCAGGGTGGGCGGCGGGCAGGTGGGATCCTGCCCTCATGGGACTCAGTCTGATTGGGGGACGAACAGACTTGAAACTACCCTGAGTGTGATCCGAGTTGATGGGGAAGCAGGATAAAAGAGTGACCTGCTGGGGGATAGGGGTGGGGTGGGGCTTTAAGGCTGACTCTTAAGCTTTGTCCCCAAGAGGAAGTAAATCCAGGGGTCAATAAGGAACATCCATTACAGCCCCCTTAACTGAGGGGCAGTCTGTGTAGTGGTTAAAATCAAGGGCGCTGGGCTTCCCTGGTGGCGCAGCAGTTGGGAGTCCACCTGCCAATGCAGGGGACACGGGTTCGATCCCTGGTCCAGGAAGATCCCACATGCCGTGGAGCAACTAGGCCCATGCGCCACAACTACTGGGCCTGCGCTCTAGAGCCCACGAGCCACAACTACTGAAGCCCCTGCGCCTAGAGCCCGTGCTCCGCAACAGGAGAAGCCACCACAATGAGAAGCCCGCGCACCGCAACGAAGAGTATAGCCCCCACTCGCTGCAACTAGAGAAAAGCCCACGTGCAGCAACGAAGACCCAAAAACAGCCAATAAATAAATGAATAAATAAAAAATTCTTTTAAAAAAAAAAAATCAAGGGCACTGGAGTCGGGATATTTGGTCTTGCTGAGATGCTGCATATTCCCTGTGCCTCAGATTCACCATCTCTAAACTCAGGACAAAGGTGGGGTTAAATGAGATAGTGTAAAATGCTTCCACTGTCCCTGGCACAAAGTGTTCAGCAAACACAGTTGCCATCACTGTCATCATTGTTGAGCACTTCTTGCTGGCAGGGCAGGAAAGGTACTTGATTCAACCTTCTCTCAATTACCAGCCTCTCTGAGTGGGGGATGAACAGCTCCATTTTACAGATGAGCAAATGGAGGCTCAAGAGAAGCCAGCTGACTTGCTCAGGGCCACACAGTGGGAAGCAGCAGCGCTCCCTGCTAAATCTAGGCCTTTGGACACTGTATGGCCTGGCTTTTCTGGGTCGTGGGAGTTCCTCAAGGTTGGAGTGAGCCTGGGGTGGGTGGGGATTTCAGTAGACGTCAGCTGTTCTCCCAAGTGGCTGAGTCTCACTCAGCTCCCTCCTGTCTTCTCTCCCCAGGCGAAAAGCCCTTCTCCTGCCCCCACTGCAGCCGTGCCTTCGCTGACCGCTCCAACCTGCGGGCCCATCTCCAGACCCACTCGGATGTCAAAAAGTACCAGTGCAAGACGTGCTCCAGAACCTTCTCCCGAATGTCCCTGCTCCACAAGCACCAAGAGTCAGGCTGCTCAGGGGGGCCCCGCTGACTCTAAAGGCTCCTTGCGCCTCTCCGGGCCCTCCCCCAATTCCAGAAGGAAGGACCCGGCATCCTTCTTGCTGCCACAGAGTTCCCTCCTGAGCTCCGCCTTCTGGCTGTGTTGGCCCCCCAGGACTCTGAGGACCATTTCCCAGTCCTCTGCTCTGAGCGCCTCACCGGGCTCTGAGGGGGGCCTTTCTTTGGATGGCTGATGGGAGGGTGGCTTGCAGCAGAGACCTCCTCCTGGCAGCTGCTGCTCCAGAGTGTTCTGGAGTTGGCCTTTCTGCGTGGGTTTGTGTATCCAGAGCTGTTTGGATACAGCTGCTTTGAGCTCCAGGACAAAAGCCAGCAGACTGATGAGAAGCTCCCACCCCACTCAGGGGACCCCAGCCTCCCCTACAGGAACCCTCAGGCCACCCCCTCCAGAAGGTGCAACTGACTATGCAAACATCCACCCCCAGGTGCACTCGCGGGGGTGGTCCCTGACACAAGGACAGCGTCTAGACCCCAGGATGCCCCAGGGCCTGGGCAGCTATTTCAGCCTTCTGTTTGTCATGGTGGCACCTGTTTCACGGGCAATTTAACAATGTCTCCAAAGGGACTGTGAATAATTGCCTTCACTTGTCCGGGGCCCAAGTGGGGTGCTTCGGCTCCACTGATGTGTCTCCCGGAACTATTTTCGGGGGCCCGACAGGTGGGCCCGGGAGGAAGATGTTTACATTTTTAAAGGTACACTGGTATTTATATTGCAAGCGACATTTTGTACTAAGGAAACGTTTTGTATAGTTATATGTACGGTTTATTGATATTCAATAAAGTGGTTAATTTATATATAAAAAAGTCTACTTGGTTTTATGTGGAGTGGGTATTTTAAAGGGCCTTTAGGGAGGGAGGAGGGGGCAGCGATTCGTGGAGCTTGGATACTCCTGACACAGCCTTAAATCTTGGTCTCTTAAACATCACATGGCTTTGGACCTCCGGGTTCGTCAGGAACCTTGTTTGTGCAGATGGGTTTTCCTCAGAGCCTGGATGTCCTGTCCGATGCGGAGGTTGGGAAACACCTGTGGGCCAGTGAGCAGTAGGGCTGTGTGTGCAGGTTTCTACACTGCGGCCCTTACTCATTCTCTCGTGCTCCCGTTTTGAAGCCGACCAGGCCCACAGGGTGAGGAGCCAGCTCCCCGGGTCTTATCAACTAGGCCTGCTGTGGGGGCTTCCCCAGCACTGCAGGTCTTTTGGGGAGGGAGCGGCTGCTGCCCCCAGATGAGGGAGTGGAATGCGATGAGTAAGAAGGGGACAGAGGATGTCCTTCCTGTTTCCAGGGGCTCCAGGCCCCGCTCCGGCCTCCCTGTCAGACCCACACCTCTGTCTGGCCTCTGGGTACCAAATGGCCTTTGATGCAAGGAAATTGGCTGGCTGGAGTCGGGAGGGTGAGAAGCCAGGCCAAAGGGTAGGGGTCATTCTGCTTCCTGCTCGAGGACAGGACAGGACGGGAAGACGGTCAGCTTGCGTCCCGTCCTGGGCTGAGCTAATTCACTCACGGCAGGCTGTCATGGTGACCTCACCTCTGGGGCCCTCCTGGGGCCAGGAGAAAATGAGTGTCCTTTTTGAGCACAAAAGGTGCCGAAGGTGCCAGTTTCCTGCGGGGAGCTGAGCGGGCGTCCCAGAGCCCCAGCGTCAGGCCGGGGGCGGGGGAGCTTCGTGTTCCAAAGGAGAGATGATTCTTTCTTCTAAACAGGAAATGGTGACCCACAGGCCAGGAGCAGCCCTTAATGACTTGCAGCTTTCCTCCCAAAAGAAAAAAAAACTTCTCTAACAATCGCCAAATTGTAGCTGGCCTCCCTGAAGGGAAGTTAGGGAGTCGGTGGGGGGCTGGGGGTTTGGGCGTCAATTTGCTGAAGGCCTACTGTGTCCCACGTCCCTGGGTGACATACATCCACCGGTAGTAGGTGCTGACATTGATGGTGAATGTATAATTGATTTCACACACTCCCAGAGGGATGGGTCTCGTGGAAACTCCCAGCTGGCATTCAACGTGGGTGCACGAGGCTCTGATCATTCTGGGAGTCAGGTACCAGGCTCATGCCCTAGGCTTGCAAGGCCTTGGAGCAAGGCTCTCCGCCTCTCGGACCCCCAGTTGCTGCCTCTAAAATAGGGTGATGATGGCGCCTTCCTCCCCGGAGACTGTAAAGGGATGTCCATCCAATCGGTTTTGATGAGCCCCGTGTGTGCCAGGCCCTGTTCTAGGGCCCGGGGTTACAGCCCTGAACAGAGAGACAGTCCCTGCACTCAGGGAACTAATGTTTTAGCAGGGGAGACAGAAAACAAACGAGTGATTAAATAAGCCGCTTTCCTACAGTGATGTGCCAAGATGGAATTAAAGAGAGCGCCTACTAGAGAGAGTTGGGGTAGGGCACCCTCCGATAAGGCGGGAGAGCTGCAGCCCAGGGCCCATTCCAGTGGAGACCTGGAGGAGGAGAGAGCTCCAGCCTCTCGAGGGAGCAGCAAGTGCAAAGGCTCCGGGGCTGGAATAAGCTTGCCACGATGCCGAAAAAGACCAGGGTGGCAGAGAGTCTGGGGGCACCAGGTGGGATTGATGAGCTGGTCCAGATCCTGCAGCACTTGTGCAGGTGGCGAGGAGTTCTATTTTGTTGAGCCCAGAGGGCAGCCACAGGGACATTTTAAGCAGGGGAGCCATGAGGCCTGCTTTACTTTTACACTGATCCCCCCATCCTGGTGGAGAATGGAGTTAGCCAAGTCAGAGCTGAGAGCCAGTGAAAGGCCCAAGGCAGAGGGATGACTGCTGGCCTGGCCCAGAGGGGTGGAGGCCTCCGGGGATGGTTGGATTGAAGAATCTGTGGCAGCTGCGCCTCCAGCCCTGTGCCAGGCATACCTGAGCGCTGGTGGGTGTGAGTTACTAGGGATTATTTAAAGATGTTGGACCCGGTAGCGGGGTGGGGATAAAAAGAAGGATGGTTCCTGTGTTCTGATGTGGACAAGCCCCCACTCAGCCACATTTAGGTAAGTGAGAAAAATGACATGCAGACCATGCTCCCTTTTGTGGGAAGAAGGGTGGAATTGAGCACGTTTTTCACTCTTGTTTGTATTTGCACACAGAAACTCTGGAAGGATTTACAATAAGACAATCAAAGCCATCTCTAGGCAGGTGCAGGGGTAGAATGGGGTAGGTGGAGGTGGGCAGGAGAGAGCAGGGAGTCAGGTTTTTTAGATTTCTTTAAAACTTTTGATTTTGCCATAGTTTCAACCTGACAGAAAAGTTGCAAGAAAAGTACAATAAACTGGAATCTTTTGATCTGCATCTTATCAAATGCAAGTCTGCATTTTCTCTCTCTGTATAAGCACATACACATACCCACTTTTTTTTTTTTTTTTCCCCTCCGGTACGCGGGCCTCTCACTGTTGTGGCCTCTCCCGTTGCGGAGCACAGGCTCCGGACACGCAGGCTCAGCGGCCATGGCTCACGGGCCCAGCTGCTCCGCGGCACGTGGGATCTTCCCGGACCGGGGCACGAACCCGCGTCCCCTGCATCGGCAGGCGGACTCTCAACCACTGCGCCACCAGGGAAGCCCACTTTTTTTTTTTTTGGAACCATTTGAGAGTAAGTTGTAGGCATGATGCCCCTTTACCACAAAGTATTTCAGTGGGTATTTCTTAAGGATAAGAACGTTCTTTCATATGACCACAGTTCAGTGATCAAAATCGGGAAATTTAGCGTTGGTGCAATGCTATTATCCAATCCACAGTCATAATCAAGTTTCCCCAACTGCCCCAGCGATGCCCTCCATAGCACTTTAGTGGGTGGGGAGAGATCCAGATCCCACGTTACATTTACTTTTCCTCTTTAGTCTCTCTTATTCTGAAACAGTTCCTTCCTTGGTCTTTTGTGAGTCTGACTTTTTTTTTTTTTTTTAATAAATTTATTTATTTATTTTTGGCTGCATTGGATCTTCGTTGCTGTGCGCACGCTTTCGCTAGTTGTGGCGGGCAGGGGCTACTCTTCACTGCAGTGCATGGGCTTCTCATTGCGGTGGCTTCTCTTGTTGCGGAGACCAGGCTCTGGGGCCTGCGGGCTTCAGTAGTGTGGCACGTGGGCTCAGTAGCTGTGGCTCGCGGGTTCAGTAGTTGTGGCACATGGGTTTAGTTGCTCCGCAGCATGTGGGATCTTCCCAGACCAGGGCTCGAACTTGTGTCCCCTGCATTGGCAGGAGGATTCTTAACCACTGTGCCACCAGAGAAGCCCCTGTGACTCTGATATTTTTGAAGAGTTCAGGCCAGGTATTTTATAGAACATCCCCCAGTTTGGATTTTCCCAGTGCTTCCTCATGATGAGATCTGAGCTGTACACTTTGGGCAGAACCACAACCGTGGGGCTGTATCCTTCTCAGTGCAATGTATCATGGGGCATATGACGTCAGTTTGTCCCATTCCTGGTGACGTCAACTTTGACCACTTGGTTAAGGTGGTGTCTGCCAGGTTTCGCCTGGATAAAGTCCCTCTTTTTCCCCTTTTGTACTTAATCCGTATCTTGCGGGGAGACCTTCCAAGGCCACGTGAATATCACGTTACTCCTCAAACTTCCACCCATGAGGTTTAGCCCTCGCTGGTGTTTTCTGCCTAAATCAGTTATTATTATGGTGGTTGCCAAATGGTGATTTTTCTAGCTCCGTCATTCCTTCTATTTTTACTGGTTTGCTTTCTACTGTAGGGAAGAACTGCCCTCCTCTGTCTGGGCAGCAGCTCAGAGCTGTGGGTTGGGAGAGGTCGGGTGGGGAGAAGGGTCTGGCCAGGCCCTTAGATCCTCCCCTGGGTGTTTCTTTAAAACGAGTCCAGGAAATAAACTGGCTGTAAAGCTGGTCTCCATGCAAGTGTCCAGGCAGGCAGGTCTGGGGCCAGGGCCACCTCTGGGCACATCTGGGCCCCATTAGTGATCCGGTGGCTTACTCATGGATGTCCCTTGAGCTGGGATGGGGGGGTACTCTGGCGAGCAGGGATCTGGGTCCTCCTGGCTCTTTTTTGCTTTCAAATTGTCAGTTTCACAAATGTTAGGAAAATTTATTCTTTCATTAAAAAAGAAAAAATGAAAAGATTAGATGTGAGGCTCAAGTGATATGTGATCAGCACACCCTATCCTGATGCCTTTACTGTCTCCAGCGTGCCGTGCCGCTGTGAAGGGCTTAGTTTGTATCTTCTAGATTAAAAGAATAAATATTTACATGCACATATGGCTCCAATCTCACTCACAGGAAAAGCCAAAGTCCTCACCTTGGCCCACAGGGGCCTGCACGATCCAGCCCCATCACCTCTGCCTCATCCCCTTCCCTACCCCCCTCACTTCCTCCAGTCACGAGGGGTCCTCTGCCACCTCAGGGCCTTTGCACTTGCTGTTCCTCTGCCGAGAAGACTTAGCCCCCAGAGAAGCTCACGTGGCTGGTCTCCCCCACCATCCCTCTCCCCTTTACATCCCAGCCCCCATGCCCTGCCCTGTTTTGTTTTGTTTTGTTTTTTCTCCATAGCACTTGTCACCATCCAACAATATATGAAATCCATATATTTCATATATCCAACAAATCCATATATTTCATATATCCAACAAATCCATATATCCAACAAATCCATATATTTCATATATCCAACAAATTCATATATCCAACAAATCCATATATTTCATATATCCAACAAATATATGAAATCCATATATTTCACTATCCACAATTTCTCTGTTGACTGTCTTCCCCACTAGAATGGCAGCTCCACGCAGGTGGAAATTTTATCTGCTTTGTTCCTAGTCCAGTCTCCCGGTGCCTCAAGTCTCTCTC